TGGCCCCAGCCCCTCACCCGGGTGTCACTTGCGGGGCCCAGCCCCTCACCCTGGTGTCACTCACCAGGCCGAGCCCCTCACCCAGGTGTCACTTACCAGGCCGGACCCCTCCCCACCCCCCAGGCTGTCCTGCAGGGCAGTGCTGGTGTGAGCTGTCCCCATCTACTGTGCATGGCTCCTCCCCGCTCCCCCCAAGCTCAGGGAGCGTCCTGCCAATCTTTGGCTCAATGGCTGAGGTTAGAGATTGAAGGAGTCACCCAAGGCCCCCTAGAGAGTGCGGTGACAGCCTAGAGCCCCCGCCCCCCTGCGCTGTGTGCTCTGGCCCCCAGGGCAGGGGCCGTGCCGTAGGGCAGGGGCCGTGCCGTGCCGTGGACAGGGGGGCTGGCTGTGCCGTGGGGCAGGGGGTGGCTGCCGTGGGCGGGGGGGCTGGCCGTGGCCATGTCATGGGGCAGGGGGTTACCGTGCCGTGCCATGGGGCAGGGGGTGGCTGTGCCGTGGGGCAGGGGGTGGCCGTGCCGTGCCGTGGGCTTTGCCACTGGGGAGGGGCCGGCTGTCCCCCAGCTCCCTGTCTCTGCAGGTGCGGGAACGCTTCGTCAGTGACCTGGCCTTCGAGCAGATCACGCTGGAGTCAGAGCGGATCCGGCTCTTCAGGGAGTTCCTCCAGGTGGTGGAGGTGAGGAGGGGGCAGGGCCTGGCCCCAGCCGGGCGGGGGACGACGGGGCCGTGCTCTGGGTGGCAAGAGGGTCCGGGGCCCTGTGTGGAGGGGGGGGGGCTGTGCCCGGGGAGCTGGTGGGGGGCTTGGGGCCCTGTGTGGAGGGGGCGGGAGGCTCTGGGTCCCATGTGGAGGGGATGGCAGCTCTTGGACTACCCGCTGTCTCCTTCCCACCGCGCTGTGCCCTGAGTGGCCCCGGCCCCGTGGGGCCTGCGGGGCTGGGGCCTGACGGGCTGTGGCTCTGTGCCCCGCAGAACGAGTGCCAGCACTACCACGCCAAGGCCAAGAAACACACCAAGAGAGGCAGGAAGCACCATCGGAAGCGCTCGCAGTCGGTGAGACCCGGGGCCGGGGGGCCGGGCAGCTGGAAGCAGGGCGAGGCCCTGGGCCTGTGTGTGCCGGGGCCACCCAGAGCCAGCCCTGAGGGAGGGGGGCCGGAGCTGGGCCTGGAGCCCTGAGCAGCGCGGATGCCCATTGGTGCTGGTGGACGGGCGGGGGAGAGCCGGGGATTTAGGGCCTGGGGGGCTCCGGGTCCATCAGGTCCTGCTCAGAGGGGTTCGCTGGAGTGAGGGGGGCCAGCCTGGGCGGTGTTAACCCCCTCCCCTCTCCGCCTCGCCAGGGCTCAGAGTCGGAGCTGGAGTCCCATCACCAGCGGGCCCAGAAGAGGAAGAAGCGGAATCACTCGGAGTCCGGCTCGGAGCTCTCCTCCTCGCCCGACTCAGGTGGGCACTGGGGCGACCCTGGGCAGGTGGGCAGGGGGAGGGACTGGGCCCGTGGCACCCGGGCGTGGCTGGGCCCCTTGGCGGCACCCACATGACGCCCCCTCTGTCCGCAGATCTCAGCTCCCGCAAGTCCAGGAAGCAGAAAAAGAAAAGCAAGAAGAAGAGGCACAAATCGGTGAGTGCAGCTGGGGAGGGGATGGTGCCAAGCCCGGGGCGGGGAGGGTGCTGGTGGAATCCCACCCCCTCACCCCTGGTCTCAGCTTTGCCCACCTGAGCCCCAGCCATTGTGTTACAGAACAGCCCCCAGAGCGAGGGCGAGCGAGGGAAAGAGAAAGGCAGGAAGGGGAAGGAGAAGGAGCCGGAGCGGGCGGAGGGGCGACGGCACTCCCCCCAGCGCAGCCTCAAGAGGGAGAAGGTAAGTGGGGGGTAGGGGAGGTGGAAGTGCTGGCTTTGGGGGGCAAGAGGGGGGCAGGACAGGGGTGGGGGTAGGAGGGACTAGAGGCAAATGCGGGGCAGGCAGGGGGGTCGGATGCTGGCTGTGGCGCAGGTTGCAAGGCAGGCAGTGGGGCAGGACGCTGGCAGTGGGGCAGGTAGGGGTCAGGGGCGCCAGCTGTGGGGCAGGTTGCAGGGCAGGCAAGAGGGTGGGTCACCAGTGGGGGGGCAGGCAGGCTGCCCCCCTGATCTCTCTCCCCGCCCCCACGCAGAGCGTCTGGGACACGTCGGACAGTGAGCCGAGCGAGGGCGAGCTGGAGAAGCGGCGTCGGACGCTGCTGCAGCAGCTGGATGACGATCAGTAGCCAGGTCTGCGGGACTGTCGCTGAGCTGGGGCTCCCTGGGGCCCCTGTGGGGCACCCTCAGCTCCCCACCCCCTGCCCAGCCTGGGGAGAGGCTCCGGACAACTTGGTGCTGGCGAGGGGCTTCTGCTCTGCCCCAGGACTGGGGGCTCCCGAGAGAGCAGAGAGGGGGTGCCCCGCTCCGCCCAGGACTCCTTCCCCCCGTCCCTGTGGATCCCCCCTGCACCCGAGGACCCGTCGCCCCCGGGGCTGCTGTGACCACCTCCGCTTGGCCGGCCCCTCGGCGCTCAGAGGACCGGCCCCAGGACGGCAGCGCTTTGGATGGTGGGGCCCTGGGGCGAATGCGGCTCGGAGCTGGCTCTCACACGTGGTTCCGTGGATGCCCCCGGGCCCTGGCGCCGAGGATCGTGGGCGCCTGGGGCTCGCCGCGGGGGCGTGTGCTGCTGAGTAGCCGGGACCCTCGGGCCTCTCGTACTCTGGGAATTAAAGGGGTTTTTTAAATAATAATATTTATAAATGTGGCCTGGCAGCTGCCGTCTCATACTGCATTGCACGTGGCCAGCCTGCCGTGGCCCAGCCTCCGAGGAGCTGACGGGGGTGGGCTCTGTCACGTGACAGGGAATGGGCTGCACCCCCCCCATCACCCTTGGCCCAGTGCGAGGTGCTGAGCCCCCCCCCCCCCCGGCTCCGTCAGCCCCTGGCGGCAGCTCACCCCATTGCCTGCAGCATGGGGTCTTTGAGCGCCGGCTCCAAGCCTGGAGGCTGTTCAGGGCCGGAGCCCCCTGGGGTTGGGGGCTGACACGGAGCCTCCCCTGGCAGAGAGCAGCTGGCAGGCTCGGCAAGCAGGTGCCTGCTCAGCCCCAGGCCGTCGGGAGCCCCAAGGAGCTGGGAGATCAAACCGCCGTGGGGGGAGCAGACACCTGAGAAGAGGCAGGAGGCCGGTGGTCTCTGGTGGTCTCCAGCCCTGGGGCCGTAGTGGCTCAGTACAGAGCACAGAGGGCACTGGGTATAGAAAACCCCAAACACTCCCTTGCTCTCGCCCCAAACCAGAGACGAACGCCCTCCCCGGTGGCCTTGGCTGCACCCGCATGTGCGCAGGGCTTGGCTCACAGGGTGAGTCACCTTGAGCCACACCTGGGCACTGGGGGACCACCCTGCCCCGCTTCCATCATGGCTGGGACAGGGAGGTCTCTAGCTGCCCCCCCACATGTTGCGAGGGGAGGGTGGGGGTGCTGGGTAAGCATCCCCAGCATCAATGCAGGCTGAGCGCATCTCAGTAGAACCCTCATCTGCCCCAGGCCGCGGCTGGGTGGATCATGGGGGTCTCCCGGCGTTAGGAATGGTGCACGGCGGGCTGCATACAACAGTCAGTATATTTCACATGTACAAAAAGTCACACCTAGCTACAGAGCGATAATGGCACGGCGACGCTGTAAACAAGGGGGCAGGCAGCGGCCCCGCTGCAGCCACCGCCTGGGCCTTGGTCCCTTTCGTTCCAATAGTGTTGGTGCAGCCCCGGGCGACGGGGCAGGAGCTCAACGCCCAGGGCTGCGAGTGAGACAGGAAGTGTGTGGGGTAAAGTGCTGGTCTGCTCTGAAAAATAACCGGGCCCAGGGTGGGAAAGGGGTGGGTGGGTGTGTGGGGGGGCTGATTCCCAGCGCAGCTCCCTTATGGGGTTCGGGACGGCCTCCCATGCTGCTGGCCACAGAAGAGGACTAGCACACGGATTAGGAGCTCTTCCAGGCAGGGCGGGGTGAGGGCTGAGGCCTTGTGCCATGGCTGTGACAGTGGGGCGAGCGTCTTTGGTTTAGTGGCTGCCACAGCACGTGTGCTCCAAGGCCCACTAGCGCTGCTGCCAGGGTGTTTATGTGCCCCCCCCCCAAGCTGGAGCTGAAACTGGTTTGCCACTGCAGGGACATGTTCCCATCCCAAAATCACAGACTTCTTTCACACCCCGAATGCTCAACAGATTTTGTTTGGTTCAGGTGGCTGGATCAGGGCCCACTGGGGCCTTTCACTGCTGTGTCCCACCAACGTGCAGCAAGCCCTGTGCCCTGCACTGGCTGTGGGCCGGGGGGGTGTCAGTTCCTCCAAGAGACACTCCTGGGGGTGGGTGGTGCCCAGGCCCAGGTCAGAGCAGAGAGGCACCAGGCATGGCAGAGCCCAGCGAGTTGGCGCGGAGCAGAACGCACGAGAAGGGTGATTACAGCCGTTGCTTTGACACGGAGACAGGCGCGAAGGCCACGTGAGGGCACATCAGTGCCCACTGCACTTAGTATTTGGTCTGGCTTTTTCCCTACAGAAGAGAACAACACTGTTTGTCAGGGCAGGCCCTGGCTGAGAATGGGGGCAGGTCACAACCAGGCCCCAGCCCACCTTTAAGGCCTGGCTTTGAGGCGCTACAGACTGGCGCGGCAAGGAGGAGGCATCACGGCTCGATACCAGGGGGGCAGGGTTGGGAGAACACCCCTGGTGCTGGTGGTGGCTCAGGCCCTAGCTTGGATGGCGTTACTCCAGCTTCAGGGGTGAAGATAATTCAGGTCCAACTTCCAGTGGAAGCTGGTATCCAAGATCCTGGCCTCCACCCCAGCTGGGCCACATCTGCCCCATGGAGCCGCTGGGCAGGAGGCACCGGTCAGCGGCCGGGCGTGGCAGGAGGCTGCCCTGGGAGGACACAGCAGGCTGGGCTGGCCTAGAGCAGGAGGAAGGCTTTGGGGTTTAGGAAAGGCCCCGGGCACAGCATTACTAGATCCAGCACATGGCCAGTGGCAGCCGTACCCAGCCCTGGCGCCCCCCACGTGTTGCACAGGGCCAGCAATGGGAAATCAGCCCATGGGGGGTGCAAGGGGCCCCGCGCCTGGTACTGGTGTAGCCCCAGGTGAGGCTGGGGGTCAGGCCTTGGCTTTCCAAGGGGCGTTGTGCCTGAGGAAGGCTGGGGCACTCGCCCGGCCGGGAGCGGTTTGGCTTTGATGCTAGAATGCCACCGCCGAAGGGTATTTAAACAGCCACCGCTGCCGCGCAGGCTGGGCCGGCTCCCCCAGCATGCACCCTGCAGCGCCCCTTCCGGGCCAGGGGCCGCCCCCCGGGGCCAGCTGCTGCCTACACTGCCGTGGGCTGGAGCGTTTCCGAGTGGCTGGGAACGAGGCAGGGCAGGGAGCGGGCTGGCTACAGCTGCTGCCAGGAGCTGATAAAGGTTGGAACAGCCCAGCCCCCCCCCCGCGCTGCGCTGGCTTGAGACCCACTGGGGCTCCTGCTGCCCACAGCGCCAGCAGAATGTGTGTGTGTGGGGGGGGGAAAATCGGTCTAACCCTGCCCCCCCAAGACTCAGAACACAGGGCCGGGGGGGCCCCCAGATCCAGGGTCACGGCCGCTTGAGCCCGAGCACCAGGGGTTTCTGCATCCGCCAGTGTCCTGCCAGCCCCAGCAGTGCCGAAGTGGAGCGCCGGCCAGTCCCGTCCGCGAGCCTGGCTCCTTCCTTGCCCCGGAGGTGCAGGACTGGCTAATACTGTCGCTCTAGGGCACTTCCCAAGGCACAGAGCCAGCCTCGCCCGAGGTCCCTTTGGTCCTTCAGTGCGGCGTCAGGGCAGGGGGCAGGAGGGGCAGGACAGAGGCCCCTGGGGAGAGGCCCAGCCACGGATGGGTCCAGGCTCCGGCTGGCGGCGTTGGCCCGTCGGAGCGGCCGGGCGTGAAGGTCTGTGCAGGGGAGAGAGAGGGGGTTAGGGAGGGGGGCGCAGGGGCCACAGGCAGGCCAGAGCGCCCGTGCACAGGCAGCTACTGAGAGGCGCCCAGCTCTGGGGGGTGACGGGAGCCACCCGCCCCTTCCAGCCTGCAGCAGCGTCTCCTTGGCGCATGTTTGCGCCAGGCTGGTGAGACCGGTGACCCCACCCGAGCCCCAGCCCCACCCAGCAGAGGCACCACACCTGCTTTGCATGCCTGGGAAAATCAGCCCCGCAGAGCCCCCGCCACAGAGCACCACCCCCACCCCCATCCCCAGAACGGGGGAGGGGCACGACCGCTCTCTGCGGCAGCCCGGCCTCGCCCAGGTGCTGTAAACTGGGCTGAGACCCAGCAAACTCGCTCCACAGGGGGGCAGTGGCAGGGGGGAGCAGCCCCTGAGCTGGATTCTGCAGCCCACCCCCAGCCCCCCACATCCAGCGTCGGTATCAGCACCTTCCTCCTGATGCACAGCCGGTGCCCACAGCGCCACCGACCCCGCTCCCTGCACTGGGGCAACGAGCCGGCACGTCAATGCACATCCCCCCCATGCAGACACCAAGCCCCCTTGGGGGCAGATTTAGTAAACTACTCTACTGCATTAGCACGGGGGCGCATGCTCCGGGACGGGGGTGCATGCAGTGCCAGGCCGGGTGCCCACCAGCAGGGTGCCTGTCGGTCGGGGGGGGGGGTGGCGGGGGGGGGCCGCGGGGGGGGGGGGGGGGGGGTGGGGTCCATGCAGTGCCAGGCTGGGTGCCTGTCGGTCGGGGGGGTATGCAGACAGGGCACTCCGTCCGGGGGCAGGTGGGAGGGGTATCCAGCAGGGGGTGTGGCGATTGGGGGGGAATGCAGACAGGGCGCTCCGTCCGGGGGCGGG